TTAAGCAACAATCTCTACCCTTTATAATTGTCCATGATTGGCCTGTATTTAGCTTTTATCATCTTTTCATCAACTCTGACCTGTTTCCCTGTGACCACAGAAGAAAACCACACACCAGCATCAGGCTTTCACAAACACTGTGTTTTATCACATGGATGCTGAGGTCAGGATAAAATGCAAAATTGGTTTTCTGCTAGCACCTTGCATGTCAACCAAAATTTTCCATGTTACAATTTTTAGCATTTATTGAACAAAACTTTCAATGACATATTACTGTTCTTGCACTTCAAATATAGGCCTATATGGTGGATTTTGGTCAAACATGCGGTCCCTTTAGTATGCATTAATGTATGTGGTGGCAATATGTTTAAAAACATCAATGTTTTAATGCAAATTTATAATTATGTGATACATTTGTTCAAAATTAACCTTTGTTTTTACTTTACTTAGCAGGTTGCAGTAGAATTATTCACACAAACATCACCATGGATACCTCAAAGGGCTTCCTTAACCGATGAGGCATATATTTGATACAGACATAAACAGTCAATTGCTCAGGGGCACGGTGACTGGCACCCTGCAGCAATTATTCCCCCAAACAGAGAGGGCTTATTAAAAAGGTTAAAGTGATAACCAGCGGCAGTTAACCAAGGTGGCAGTGGAAATGGGGGGTGGGGGGTTTATATAGAAACACAAGATGAAGGAATAAAACAAATCTGCTTGCTGGTCTATGCAAGTGCAGTCACATATTGAGAATTGAAACCCACCGTTTGTTTTTGAAAACAAGGGGATTATTATCTGTGCTTTGTTAATTTTAACCTCCCCCTGTATTTTGATTATATCCCACATGTTGATTAGAAAACCACAGGAGGAGAAGCTTGCTCCACTCAAGACCCAAGAGTCTTTATTGTCATTTTGATACCATATCACATTTTAAAGAGACGTCAGATTCAGAGTACACATATAATGTAGGAGACCCTTAGGAATATTAAACACCATAAGAAAAAAACGTTTTTGAATACTTAACACCCTTAACATTTCAAAGAAAATAAATATGCATTTCTAAAAGCCATTAACATCCTAGGAAGAAACTTTTTACATGGAAATTAAGAATGTGGTATTAGCATAAAGTGCAGCTTGTTGTAGAGAAGTCTATAAAATGTTTTAGGGGTCTATTTGGTCGTCAGCAGGGTGCTTATGTGTGCATGTGATCTTGTTTGTGGGTGTCTGAGAAGGACAGCATTCATGCAGGAACTAGCACTGAGAAAAACTAATTTGTGCTGTTACTTATTCTCAAAGTCTTTGCCTTCCAGCCACCCTGTGAGCCTTTTTTCAGCCCTCCAAAGTTATGACAGGTCAGTTAATACTGACAGTGTATCCTGCCACCACCATGACAGCTTGAGCTGCTGGGAGCCGCTCATTAGCTCTGCATGCACCTGTATATATGGCTGCTGCCGTGTATGTTTATGCGTGTGCATGTTTGAGAAATTATCTGGATGGCTGGGACAAAAGTCATTAGCCTTCTTAAACAGGTGTTAAGGAGACAGGGGAAAGTCCCAGTGTTTGCCTTTGAGAGAATGGCATAGATTGGTGTCATCGATCAAGCCTATCACAGAGCCTTCATTGTGTGTTGAATAAAGAGTGGGTGGCCACCATGTGTTTGTATGAGGGAAAGTTAATAGCCAAAAATACAAATTGAGGTAAATTCACAAAATAGTTAGATGTGCGTAGATACATGCACATGCACTTGTCAGCTTAGATATTCATCTGAGGTGACCTTATAAGATAAATAATCTCTGTTTAATGTGTGTGTTTGAATGGCTATAACTACACTCCCTTGCTCTGCGGGTGAGAAAGTCGCAACAGGATGCTTTGGTGAGAGAGAGGAACTGATGGATTGAGGGTAGAAAATGCAGTGGTAATGGTACTAGATACACAGGTAATTGGAAGCTAAATTGGCTTCAGAATTAAAACCTGTGAGCTCTCAGTTTGTGTATTGCAGCCACATAACCTGCAGTGGGGCGCATGTTTGCAGAGTGTGTGTGAGTTGTATGTGTGTTCTTGTATTTGACACATTTTGGAGCCCATTTTCTGAGAAAATAGCATGTTGTTGGGGACTTACTTCTCCTTTAGGGGCCTGATGCCTGGACCTCACAAGGGTAATTGCTGTTTCAGGGTCATGGGTCACATTTAGGACTATTGTGTGAATTGAGTTTAGGTTGGGGTGAGGGATAGGTATGAACCCGGCATCTTTACCTTTAGGGTAAGGGTCATGGTTTGGCTGAAGTTAGAAATGATTTGAAGTCAATGGAAAAGCCCCTCAAAGATAGAGAGATTTATTATGTACTGTACGTGTGGGTGGATGTACATGCACATTTTTGTTTAATGGAAGCTCAATAAATGTGTACATAAATGTCGATGACTAATAGAAGTGGGACACTTTGCTAAACAAATATGCCATCCACATAAAGAGGTTTTGACAAAACAACAGCTTCAAAATGCTTCAAAATCAACACCCAGGGGTTAGTGCAAGTTCTCCTAAGCTCTTCTACCTACCTTTTTAACTAACCTTTCAATTTGTTCACATTTGTGTTGTTAGCCCTATTGAATAGCAATGCATTGCTTGGTGAAAAGAAAGTACAGTCCTTTCTTTTTCTATTATGTATTTAGAAAAACTAACAAAAACTGCAGTTTTTAGCAACCAGTAATATATATTACTGGTTGGTAAAAACCAGTAAAACTTTGCTTTCGTCAAAGAATCCTCCATTTGCAGCAATTACAGCATTGCAGACCTTTTGCATTCTAGCTGTTAATTTGTTGAGGTAATCTGGAGGAATTGCACCCCATACTTACAGAAGCCGCTCCCACAAGTTGGATTGGTTTTATGGGCACTTCTTGCGTACCATACGGTCAAGCTGCTCCCACAACAGCTCAATGGGGTTCAGATCTGGTGACTGCGCTGGCCACTCCATTACCAATACCAGAATACCAGCTGCCTGCTTCTGCTCTAAATAGTTCTTGCACAATTTGGAAGTGTGTTTAGGGTCATTATCCTGTTGTAGGATGAAACTGGCTCCAATCAAGCGCTGACACTGGGTATGGCATGGCGTTGCAAAATGGAGTGATAGCCTTCCTTATTCAGAATCCCTTTTACCCTGTACAAATCTCCCACCTTACCAGCCCCAAAGCAAACCCAGACCATCACATTACCTCCACCATGCTTAACAGATGGCGTCAGGCATTCTTCCAGCATCTTTTTATTTGTTCTGCGTCTCACAAACGTTCTTCTTTGTGATCCAAAAACCTCAAACTTTGATTCATCCGTTCACAACACTTTTTTCCAGTCTTCCTCTCTCCAATGTCTGTGTTCTTTTGCCCATCTTAATCTTTTTCTTGTATTGGCCAGTCTCAGATATGGCTCTTTCTTTGCCACTCTGCCCTGAAGCCCAGAATCCCGCAGTTCACTGTAGATGTTGACACTGGTGTTTTGCGGGTACTATTTAATGAAGATGCCAGTTGGGGACCTGTGAGGCGTCTGTTTCTCAAACTAGAGACTGTAATGTACTTATCTTCTTGCTCAATTTTGCAACAAGGCCTCCTACTTCTTTTTCTACTCTGGTTACAGCCTGTTTGTGCTGTCCTCTGAAGGGAGTAGTACACACCGGTGTAGGAAACCTTCAATTTCTTAGCAATTTCTTGCATGGAATAACCTTCATTTCTAAGAACAAGAATAGACTGTCGAGTTTCAGATGAAAGTATTTTGAGCGTTTAATTGACCCCACAAATGTGATGATCCAGAGACTCAATCTGCTCAAAGGAAGGTCAGTTTTGTAGCTTCTGTAACAACCTGTTTTAAGATGTGTGAACATGTTTGCACAAGGGTTTTCTAATCATCAATTAGCCTTCTGAGCCAATGAGCAAACACATTGTACCATTAGAACACTGGAGTGATAGTTGCTGGAAATGGACCTCTATACACCTATGTAGATATTGCACCAAAAACCAGACATTTGCAGCTAGAATAGTCATTTTCCACATTAGCAATTTATAGAGTGTATTTCTTTAAAGTCAAGGCTAGTTTAAAGTTATCTTCTTTGAAAAGTACAGTGCAAAAACAAGGACATTTCAGTGTGACCCCAAACTCTTGAACGGTAGTATGTATATATATATATATATATATATGTATATATATATATATATATATATATATATATATATATATATATATATATATATATATATATATATATATATATATATATGAAGAGAAGCCAGGATAGGAAAGTTATGATCTCTCTTTTTTAATTTTTATCAAAACTCTGGCTGCAGCATTTTGGATCAGCTTAAGGATTTTAGCTATAATTTATGGACTTCCTGATAGTAAAGAATTACAACAGTCCAACCTTGAAGTAACAAATGCATGGGCTAGTTTCTCATCATCACCCCTTGTGATGGAGCGCCACTAAGCGTCCATCCCAGACTCTAAGTATCCGTCCTTCCTCTGGCCCAGGGGAGCGCGGTGCCAGGAGCGCGTGCACGGGGAGAAAGCTCTCCCACGTGAGTGTGCTGCCCGGCAAAAAGCTGCGTGCAGGCCCGCACCTGTGTCCCGCGGTCCTGCACAGTCCCAACGAACATTACCCCCCCCGCCTGAACCGGTCATCGCGCACGTCTGAGTGTGCACACTCGGCGCCGAGCTTCCACAAACACTCACCTCTCATCTCTGCTTCAGTCCCGCTGTTCCTGGTCAAGGGGCCAAACCGGAGCACTTCTGCGTCACGCTGGAAATAGCGCAGAGTGGCGCGCTTTGCCAGTCACGTGACAAAGGACTCAACCATTTTGGGTGTTTTGTTTTGTATTTTTATATTGTTTATGTTCCTGACGTATTGAACAATGTATGGAGTCATTTTTGTTCATTTTTTAGTTTCTATGCAGGAAACTGGGTTTTGAGTTTGTCACGCCCATCTCAAGGGCGAGGACAAGAAGGGAGACAGACGAGCGGATCCATAGCAACAACGATTTATTGATTACAAAAATACGCTCCGTGAGATCAGGCCAGCCAGTCGGAGAGAAGTGTGGACCAATGCTGCTCGTTCCGGCCTGGTCCGGAGGGCAAACAAGCAGAGCGAGTGACTGACTAGTCGTCCCCTTTTATCATTCACCGGTGTGTGCAATTAACAGTCCATCTACCTGCTTCCTGAAAAAAAACAAGAACAAACATGTAGAGGACTAGAGACACCTACTGGACAGAAGGGGATTGTCACACTCCCCCCCATACAAATGGAGTCCTAACCGGGACTCCAAAAAGACAGCGATTTATACTAACAACTAGGTGACAATTGCAATACTAATGGACTTTGCAGTCTTACCACAATCACCCATTCAATCCCCACCTCAATAGCTCAGCCACCCTAGCCACTGGAAAAGCCTATAAGAAACTTGGAGAAAAAAAAGGGACTGAACATTAAACCTAAGCACATGGTGCCCTGGACAAAGCATCTGCCACAATATTGTCCGAGCCCCTAATGTGGCGGATATCCAGACAATAGGGCTGCAAAAACAACATCCATCGCATCAGTCTGCGATTTGGACACTGCAATGAATGCAAAAATGTTAAGGGATTGTGATCAGTATAGACCACCAGAGGAACACTTCCAGAATCCAGATATATTTCAAAATGCTGTAAAGCCCAAATTAGTGCCAATGTCTCTTTTTCAATGACAGAATAGTTCACCTGAAAATGGTTGAATTTTTTAGAGTAGAAACTCACAGGTCGATCAACTCCATCATCATCTTGTTGAAATAAGACAGCACCTGCACCTACATCACTTGCATCCACATGCAGGACAAAAGGACGACCCCATTGTGGAGCTGCAAGAACAGGGAAGGAACAGAGGACAAATTTGACATCATCAAAAGCTTTCTGACAGGAAGCTGTCCAGGTGTACTTCACTTTATCCTTCAGCAAATCTGTTAATGGGGAAACCACTGTAGAAAAGTTCTTACAAAAACTGCGGTAGTACCCCACAAGACCCAGGAACCGCTGGAGTTCTTTTTTTGTTGTTGGTACGGGATACTGTAAAATTGCAGTTACTTTGGCTTCCACTGGACGCACCACCCCTTGCCCCACCACCTTACCCAGATAGGTAACCGTAGCCTTAGCAAACTCACACTTCGCCAAGTTAATGGTCAGGTGTGCTTCAGCCAGTCGTTCAAACAGCTTACGTATGTGAGCCAGATGTTCCTTCCACGTATCACTAAAGACCACCACATCATCCAAATATACAGCACACCCTTCCAACCCAGACACAACCATATTCATGAGACGCTGAAAGGTTGCAGGTGCATTTCGCAATCCAAAACTCATTACAGAGTAAGAGAACAGACCAAAGGGAGTTATAAAGGCAGAAATCTCTCTAGCTCTCTCAGACAATGGAACTTGCCAATAACCCTTCAATAAATCAAATTTGCTAACAAACTGAGCTGAACCCACCTGATCGACACAATCTTCCATGCGTGGCATCGGATAAGCATCAGATTTTGTAACCATGTTCACTTTCCGATAATCTGTACAAAATCTAAAACTTTTATCAGCCTTCTCGACCAACAAACAAGGTGATGCCCAGCTAGATGCAGAGGATTCAGCAATACTATTTTCAAGCATATACCGAATCTCCCCCTCCATTACCTTCCGCTTCTCCTCAGAAATCCTGTAAAAGCGCTGGCGAATTGGCTGTGCCTCACCCACATCGATATCATGTTGAACTAAGTGAGTTCGACTGGGCACATCACCAAACAAACAAAGATACTCATTAAACATAGCAGTCAACTCAGTGCCCTCCTCCTGAGACAAATGTGCAAACAAAGAATCCAAATTCCTCAGTACATCAGAATTTTTCAGCCTGCCAGTCAACAAACTCTCATTAGGTGGAATCACCCCATCGTTTTCAAGTGCAGATAAGAAACCTAATCCACTTACTGTAGTAGCCACAGAGACAGTCTTATCAACCTGCACCTCCTCATCTTTGCTGGATACCTGTGACTCCCGAGTGTAATAGGGTTTTAACAAATTTGCATGGCAAAGCTGTGTTGACTTCCTACGCCTCGGTGTGGACAGCAGATAGTTTTGATCCGAAAGCTTGCGCAGGACTGTAAATGGGCCTTTAAATTTAGCCTGAAAGGGGGAGCTGACAACTGGCAATAATGCAAGTACCTGATCACCAGGACTAAAACATCGATGGTCCACCTTACGGTCATAGATGCGCTTCATCTTCTCCTGAGAAGAGGTCAACTTCTCCCGAGCCATTTCCACCCCCACATGCAAACGATGTCTAAACCCATTGACATAGTCAATTAACTTACTCGGAGGTTCTGAAGGACTCACAGCATCATGTAACAGTTTAAGTGGCCCACGCACTGCATGTCCAAAAACAAGCTCGTTTGGGCTAAACCCAGTACTCTCGTGCACCACCTCACAAGCAGCTAACAGAAGCCATGGTAAGCCATCTTCCCAATCCTGATTTAACTCCACACAGTAAGTACGCAACAAGGACTTGAGGGTCTGATGGAACCTCTCCAGAGCACCTTGACTCTGAGCATGATATGCAGAAGCCTGATTATGTTTGACCTGTAAAAGTTTCAAAACTTGAGCGAACAAATGAGAAGAAAAATTTGAACCTTGATCAGACTGGATAACTTTTGGAATACCAAAAATAGAAATGAACTGAGTCAGAGCCTTTACCACAGACCTAGCAGTAATGGTCCGCAGTGGGTATGCAGCTGGATATCTTGTTGTCTGACACATTACCGTCAACAAATAATTACTCCCAGCCTTAGAACGAGGTAAAGGACCAACACAATCAATAATGAGGTGTTCAAAAGGTTGCATAACCACCGGAATCGGATACAAGGGAACCGGCTTAATGCTCTGATTTGGCTTCCCTGCCATCTGACATGTGTGGCAGGTTTTGATATATTCAGACACATCACTTTTTAACCGAGGCCAAAAAAAATAACGCAGGATATAATGATAAGTCTTGTGGACCCCCAAATGACCTGATTGATCATGGGAAGCCCGCAACACTTCACTGCGAAATTTCGAGGGAACAACAGTCTGACAAAGGGAACCCCCAACAAAATCCTCCCCATGTACCAACCATTTCCGCACCAACAATCCATCCTTCAACACATACCCACAGGCCACACTCTCGTCATCAGTGACAACCTGGTCAAAAAGATGACGAAGAGAAGAATCCGCTCTCTGCTCCGCCACCAGGTCACTGTGAGAAACAGACAAAAGAGAATCAGGGACATAAAGAGAGAAAAAATCACCATCTTCGGCACCTCCACCTTCATGGTCAGGGATGGATGCCGACTCAGCATGGTACATAGCTCGCGTCACCGCACAAGCTGCAAAAACCCCAGGGAAACACTGAGCACTCTCATCCAACTTCCCTAGAACAGGGGAAGAAGTTACTATGGGAGCAGGTAGTGGACAATCAGCCCACACCCGGCCACCAGCCAGATCATTGCCCAAGATTACATCCACTCCCTCCAGCGGAAGTGCAGGGCGCACCCCCATGATAACCTCCCCCTGAACCAATCCACACGTCAAAGTCAACTTATGCAGCGGAACTGGTTCCACCATAAGTCCCATTCCCCGAATCAATACATGGTCTCCAGTGTTGGTTTCCTCAGAAAAGGGTAATACAGAGCTCACAATATATGAATTAAAAGCTCCAGTATCCCTCAAAATTTTTACCGGTACCGTAGCATCACTCCCCACCATGGACACATGGCCGTCAGAAAGAAAAGGTGAAAAATCCTCCTGATCCAAAGTATACCTCCGTCCTGTGTCCACCTGTTTAGAGGAAACAAAACCATGCGTTTCAGACGCAGCAAAAGCAACCGATTTCACCTGAGCACCTCTTTTTGGGCATTCCCGCTTCCAATGGCCTCTGGCTTTGCAATAATGACACACATCAGATAGATCCACATACACATGCCCACTGGAAATCCGTTCTGACCTACTGTTCACATCAGAACCAATGCCTTCCTCCTTTGCATGATTTCCCACAAAAGATTGATTGCCACTCCTGTAACCAAAATCACTGCGAGGTTGATACTCACGGCCACCCCTGTGTATAAGAACATATTCATCTGCCAGCTTAGCAGCTTCAGCAGCTGTCTTCACGTTATGTTCACTGATATATACCGCAAGGTGACTCGGAACAGAGTTTTTAAACTGTTCCAGGACAACCAAATTACAGAGGTCAACAAAAGTGCTAATTTGTAAGGAAGCACACCACCTATTGAAATGGATTCCCAGCTCCCTGGCAAACTCAACATGGGTTTTTTTCCCGGCCTTCTCCCATGTCCGAAACCTCTGTCGGTAAGCCTCTGGTACCAACTCATAAGCTGTTAAAACAGCCTTCTTCACAGTGGCATAAACTTTACTTTACTACAGAGTATGCTTCTTGTGCTTTGCCTGTGAACACACACTGTAAAAGCAGTGTCCGGTCCAAATCAGACCAACCTCGACTATCAGCAACACGCTCAAACAGGGAAAAGAAGGTATCCGGATCCCATTCAGAAAACTGAGGAACTAAACGCAGATTATTCCCAACATCAAACGAGCTAGACGCCCCCCTACCGGAAGCATCAAGGGGGACCGTGCCCGCACTAGTTGAGCTCAGTCTGCGTTCTTCCAACTCCAGCCTTTTCACATCCAATCTTTTCTGTTCTATCCCAGCCTGCAGTAAAAGCAGCTCCCGCTTTTGTTCAAAAGTCAATCTAGTATCAAAAACGTCAGTGTCCAACCACGTCGCGCCAGCTTGCAACTTAGCTTGTCCTAACACACCGGAGTCAGTTAAATTAGCTTTAATGGCGGCTCTTATACTCTCCTTAGACCGCTTGTCACTGACCTCCAACGTAAAATGTTCAGCTATCTTTAGTAACTGTTCGCGTGTGCAGCGCTCCAACCCCTCCTCAGACGGATCCCGCAAAAAATCCTCAACAGCAGCCATAACATCTACAGTTATCCACACAACACCGGAATCCCAACCAGTAGCACTCTGAGCTCCCACGCTCCCAAAACAACCACAACGTCACAGCGACCCCGTCCCTCTAACTGCCTAACCAGAATCTAACTAATCTCCCCCGCTAGTCTTCGGGTGTTACTTGTGATGGGTATTTATGCACTAACGCCCGAGAGTCCGAAAAAGCAACCAATAAATGGCGACTCCCTGCAACTCCGGATGTGCTCCCGAGACAACTGCTCTTCCCACGTTCACACCACACTAAAATTCCCCCACAACAAACTCCATAAGGGAAATCGTTGTTAAGCCTGACAGGGACAGAACCACCGCGACCTGCTATGAAGGAGCGATCACTGCTACACAAACACGCTCTCTCAGAATAGATGTACAACGGCTGCCTCACTCACCAAACCCAGCACGCTCGTCAACGTCCCCCAACAAACAGAGTTCACAACTCAACACACTACCTGAAAGCTGATCTCCAATCCGGGTTCAAACTGACAAGCCCCCATTTGTCACGCCCATCTCAAGGGCGAGGACAAGAAGGGAGACAGACGAGCGGATCCATAGCAACAACGATTTATTGATTACAAAAATACGCTCCGTGAGATCAGGCCAGCCAGTCGGAGAGAAGTGTGGACCAATGCTGCTCGTTCCGGCCTGGTCCGGAGGGCAAACAAGCAGAGCGAGTGACTGACTAGTCGTCCCCTTTTATCATTCACCGGTGTGTGCAATTAACAGTCCATCTACCTGCTTCCTGAAAAAAAACAAGAACAAACATGTAGAGGACTAGAGACACCTACTGGACAGAAG